TACGGCTAAAAGAAACTCCCTTGGTCAGCTGGGCCCAGGAGCAGCACATGGTTTGGGTGCTGTTAAAAGTCTCATGGCCTCCAGAATAAGGCCTCTTACCCATTGCCTCCAGAAATATTACATAATGAAGTAAAAGATGGCCTGTGCTGAAACAACTGGAGAGTTCTAATAGGGGCATCAAAAAAGAGCTCAATAGAAACTACCTTTCTTATTCCAGCCTTCTTTTGATCAGTAAAAAGAACAGGAAGAAAAAAAAAAACCTACCCTTCCATTCCACCCCACCTCCAAAACCCAATTCCAGCCCTAGTCACAAGCTACCTCCAAGCCTTACGTTTCTTTCCATTAATGTGATCCAGAAAGTTGATGGAGTCCTTCACCACACAGTCACAGACATTGCAGTAATATCTAACAGGAAGAAACAGCACCTGAGTCAAATATGGTTTTAAGGATCTTATCATTTTCAACCAAGAAACACAAATTTTTAGGTAAACTTCTTTTTAGAAGTGTTAAGCCTTCATTTCTATAAAGCCTTGGCTCTCGAGAGAGTATAGCAGTCATCCTCAAAGACAGCCTCAGGAGGAGCCCCACCCTCTTGGTATTCCTACTCTGTGTAGTCTCTTCCCAATTTGTACTAGACTTGGTCTGTGTGGCCAACAGAATATGTCAAAAGTAATATCTTCCAAAATTAGGTTATTTTAAAAACCATGCCTTCTGTCTTTGTTTGGGTTACTTGCTCCGGGGAAGCCAGTTGCTCTATTGTGAGCAGTCTTATAGAAAGGTCTATGGGGCAAAGAACTTAGGCTTCCAAACAACAGGCATGTGAGAGAGCTTGGAAGCAGATCCTCCAGCCCCACTTAAGATTCAAATGAATGCAGACCTACCTTGCCAACTCCTTGATTGCAGCTTCATGAAGAGACCCTGAGCCAGAACCACCTAGGTAAGCCACTCCCACATTCCTTACCCAAAGAAACTGTGAGTGGTGTAGTTTATGCTGCTAAGCTTTGGGTTAATTTGTTAATTTACATAACAATAGATAACTAATACAGACAGGAATGGACAACAGTGGGTTTACTAAGCAGCTCAGAGAAGTGTCACTCATTGCTATCTGTGTTGCTCTCCTGCTAGAAAACCTAACTGGAGAGAGAAGCAGTGGGGGGCAAAAGGGTGACAAGCTGTTGTGGGACCCTTCTTCCTACAGGTTACAGTCTTGGAAGAAGGTGTACAATCAGGCATCCGTAACAACTACAGCCTTTGCAGCTAGTCTGGAACCTCACACCCCGCTTCTTCACCATTAACAATTCCTAGGCTCTACCTAATTTCTCCCCTAGAAATCTCCTCAGTAGCACCTTCCTTCATTTCTTCCTCTGACAGATCAAATAATCCCTTTTAAAATATTAATAGTAAATCAGAATTGATAACAAGTATAATGGCAATAAAAAAAATTTTTTTTTTTTTTTGAGAGAGTTTCACTCTGTGGCTCAGGCTGGAGTGCAGTGGCGCGATCTCGGCTCACTGTAAGCTCCGCCTCCCGGGTTCACACCATTCTCCTGCCTCAGCCTCCAGAGTAGCTGGGAATACAGGCGCCCGCCACCAAGCCCAACTAATTTTTTGTATTTTTAGTAGAGACGGGGTTTCACTTGTTAGCCAGGATGGTCTCAATCTCCTGACCTCGTGATCCGCCCGCCTCGACCTCTCAAAGTGCTGGGATTACAGGCGTGGTGAGCCACCGCACCCGGCCAGCAAAAAAAAAAATTTAAAATATGTATTAAGTAGTAGTTGTAGTGCTACTACTAGTAGTTGCAGTGCTAGTATTTTTGTCTGTTTTGTTTTTTTAATTGAGACAGGGTCTCACTGTATTGCCCAGGCTGGTCTTGAATTCCTGGGCTTAAGCAATCCTCCTGCTTTGGACTCCCAAAGTGCTGGGATTACAAGCATGAGCCACCGTGCCCAGCCAATGCTAATAATATGAAGAAGCCCACTGAGTGACCACTCCTAGAGACACTATCATGTCAACTTGAGACCTTGGGAGACACAGAAAAACAAATATAAAGATGGAATTGCAGGCAAGAAGAACATAATCCTGGGGCCAAGGACCTTCCTCAATAGTTCCTAAAACCAGAATCGGTGGCTTAATAGATGCATTCTTGGCTGCAGAGAAAAATGATAAGCAACTTACCCTCCCATCTCAGATTGAGGGGTTGTCTTGGTAATGACAATTGTCTTCCCAAGCTTGGATTCCAAGTCCACCTTGTAGTCCCTATGCCGTAAAAGCTCTCGCTTGACAGGCTGCACTGGTTTTCCTGAAACATAATGGGGAAGGAAGTCCCTTCAATATTATAGCTCCTCAACCAGAAAGGAAAAAAAATGCATGAAACCCAAAATTCAGGTCTACTCTCATTTCAAAATGATTCCTGAAAGAAAGGACGCAACAGACACTTAAAGTAGCAGCTGGGGAGAATCTCAACACAGGAAAAAATCATAAGCAATCCCCAATTCTCTACAGCTTTTCTCCACTTCAAAGCCAGCCAATCCAAAAGCAGTATGTTTTATATTCATTGATTAACTGAATTGTGGGGGAGAATTTCTGAAGTGTTACTAGAAGCAACTTTTTCAAAACAGAAGCAAGGATATTCAAGAATGCTTTCAGGCAGATACCCTAGGCATAACAGAAAGGAACCTTCTGAGAGCTGGGCAAATTTATAAAAGGTGACCAACATTTAGGAAATGCCTGTTACATGTCAAGCACTATTTATTTTACATGTTACATAAAAACTGAAAGAGTTAGTGAATGCAAGGTGGCCTGGAGGTAAAGGGAAAGAATAATGTACACGTTTGAAATAGATGACAAAACAAGACATTTCTTTATGCAATCTCTTAACCAGGAGAGAAGCACCAAGTCCCTGACGTCCAAGGCACAGAGAAACAGCACTGCTAAGCACTAGCTGAAACAATCACAGATCCTGGAAAGTACCCCGGCTTTTCTCAGACTATATGGGAGGGTCTTGATTGGGCCAGGAGTGTTCTCTCCCTTAAGAAATTTCAAGGGAAAGAGGGGAGTCACTGACAGCGGTAATGCACAGTAGCAAAATACTCCACACTTCTCTGTCACTACAAAGGATTCCGTTATCTTCTCTGTACTTCAGGAAAGCATTAAACGAGCCAAGCAAAGGGTGGGCAAGGAAGCGGAGTAAAATAGAGCTGAAGAGCATCTCAAAACTACTTACTTCAGCCCACCTCCTCGCTCTCATTTTGTAAATGTAGAAACCTAGGCCGAGGGAAGCAACACTCTGCCAGAGCTTAACCGCGTGGGAAGGCAGCGCACTTCAACTCCCACCCGCTCTCCATCATCGCATCGCCTCTGTGATACCCTTAGCCCTTGATGTAGTTAGCACCCACCATCTTTCTTTTCTCTCTCTTCCGTGAGCCTCTTCTCGGCGAGTTTCTCATATTCATCTTTGTCCCACTTTCGGCGAAAGTCCAAGTTTTTTGTCTGTGGAGGGGAAAAAGCGTCAAGATCCGTCGCCGTGTCCGGACCCCTAAAGAAGCAGGGAACCGCGCCCTCGCAGTCCAGGCAGCTACAGGACCTCCTGAAAGCGAAGCCTCTTTGGACTGCATGAGAAGGCTGGGGTAGCCTCAGGACCCCCAACCCGAGAAACCTCCATGATTCCACTGACCCTTTGCCAAGGCCTATACTGGGGAGTTCTTGAACCTGGACCCTGCGATCTCGAGGAGATATCGGAAAGCCGGTCGGATGCAGGAGTTTGTCGCTATTCAGGTCTGAAAAACCATTCCCCACCCCGCAAAACCTCCTCTTCAGACACAACACCTACCCCGCTGCCCGACGCCATCTTCACAGCGAAGTGAATGGCGAGCTGAAAAATGCCGTAAAAGGCGGCTTGGAGCCGTAAGGCAAGATGGCCCTCCAATAAGCTTGGAGCCTTGTGTTCCAAACGAGCTAAGGACTGGAGGGCTTCTAAAACAGGCTTGTTGGCCCCGCCTCTGCTCCAAGGAGACAGCGCAGGCGCAAGAGGAGTATGAAGCAACACGGAAGTAAGGGCGCCTGCAAGCGTTTTTTGCCTTGGGTTTCAAAACAAGCATTGAAGGGTCAAGATTTAGTTCAACTATTTTACAAACAAGGAAACTGAGGTTCGAAAAACTGTGGTCTCTGATCTAGTCTAACAACTTTGCGTCCACTGCCAAGAATTCGTAAACCTTTTTTAAGGCCGAAGCGCCATTAGGGGGTCTAGATGCCTCTCATTCACCTGCATGCACTAGCGATATGACCCTAAACTACACTGAAGCGTTTGCAACAGAGGTACCCTTCCCGACGCACATATAAAAAGCATGTTTTGCACTTGTGCTCTTTTCCTTGAAGCAATGCTATCACACTTTACTTCACTCATTTTTCCATCACCTGGGGAACGTTATAGTAGAACATAATTTAATCAGCATTAATTGGATTTGGAAAGGCCAGTCATCAACAACACTCTAGAGTGAAGCACTGTGGCATACCGGCTCACTATATGTTGATTTTAGCAATAAAACCACCTCTTGGCCAGGCGCGGTGGCTCATGCTTGTAATCCCAGCACTTTGGGAGGCTGAGGTGTGGATTATGAGGTCAGGAGTTCAAGACCAGCCTGGCCAACATGGTGAAACCCTGTCTCTGCTAAAAATACAAAAATTAGCTGGCTACTTGGGAGGCTGAGGAAGGAGAATCTCTTGAACTTGGGTGGCGCAGGTTGCAGTGAGCCGAGATCACGCCACTGCACTCTAGCGTGGGTGACAGAGCAAGACTCCATCTAAAAAAAAAAAAAAAAAAAAAAAAACTACCTCTTGAGCAGACGGGGAAAGAGGGAGAAACTGGCTGCTCATCACTGAATACAGAAGCATCATCCCAGGGAGGTTACTCCTACCTCACACAATTCTCCAGTATACACTCAAGCATTTTCTACAGTCTATGCAAACCCAGCCCTTGATAACAATAACAAATTACCCAAACTACTACACTTAATATTTTATTTAACATGTTATCCAACCACTTCTAGAACAGCCTCCATGGCATGGCATGGAATAGTTAGAGCAGTGATTCTGGCACAGGAAATGGTCTCCAAAATCTCAAAATATCAGATCTCCACCTTGTCAAGTCATCTATTAAGTTCAATGTTCAAGATTATTAAGCATACAGCCCCACTCTTCTATTGTTAGCAATGCATGGGCTAGAGAGATGTCAAATCAACATGGGTACTGCCATGCCCTTCGGATAGCATCTGTCCTCAAACAAAGCTGAAAGCAGCCATTGCCCCTCTTTGCTGTCTTCCAAAAACTCCCCAGACAGGCCAATGGCTGGTTGTGGACAAATTCACCAGAATCTGGTTCCGTAGCTACAGTAGAAGGCTAAGTATCTGGCTTCTGATCTCAATGGTTCAGAATCCTCAGCCTGAGGTGACTCTCCCAGAGCCTTGCTCACAGCAACAATCTCAGTACCTCTTGACAACATTCGGTGGCACTTCAAATTTGCCTCTGCAGCTACAGCATGTCTCTTTCACATACCAGCCATCTGCACCCATGCAGAATAGCTGCTCACACTACCCAAGGAGTCCTCAGGGTCTTCTACAGTTCTGTACCCAGGAAGGATGGAGGAGGCAGAAGGTACTTGTCACCCATCCTGGCCAGTTGCTGTGAAGTCCATCACTCAATTCCAGAGGAACTCAGTTCTAGAGGAAACCTTTTCTACAAAGAGCAGCAGATGGGAATCAGGCAAGGATCAAGACTCAGACAGTCGCTTCTGAATTTCAGCCACAAGATTTTCCCGTTTAATGGCCACCTGAAACATAAGAGAATCCTCATGTGATAAACTAGAAAGTGATACTAGCTCCTTAGCCACTGTTTTTCCAGATTTGTTTTACTCTGCATTTGCTCCATTACTTACACAACCAGAAGGTAGTAGTGTGGGTTGACCTGAAGAATGTATACCCTCAAGACGAAAGGGATTCAAACACCTGATTTATGTCTATTATGTTGATTAGTTTCAAAATACCCATTCGGATTTCATTTGTCTTTCTTCTGGCCACACAGCCAATACTCACAGGCTGCAGTGGTCATCTGGAGTGGGTGCTTGTTCATCTCTACCACTATTAACCATGAAGATAATTTCTCAGCCAGAAGATGCATATTTCTTACAAAATCTGGGAAAGGCAGAAACAATTCGTCCGTTCTATTTCTGCTGCTGCCACTCACCTCCTCTCTGCTGGCCACCGAACGGATCTTGATGATCCCTTCTTTCAGTTCTTGCTCACCAATAATGACCACCAGTGGAATGCCTGTGCTCTCACAATAGTGCAGCTGGGTTAATAGTTTGGGGTTGTTCTTGTATAGCATCTCTGCCTGAAAAGGATCAAGACAGAGTAAAGGACTTAGAAGCGAACACAGCAACAAACCTCAGGAACATGGATATCCAAGGAAGTCAGAGATAAATGGCTAGTCCTCCCACCTAAAAAGCCACTCTAGTAGCTAGTAGACTAAAAAGGTCTTGAGTTCCACCCTAGACATAAGGAAGACATAGCCCTGGGTCCTAAATTCCACACATACCCAGATGGCTCAGATATCAGCTCCACCATACCTTGATTCCAGCATCCCAAAGCTCTGTAATAAGTTTCAACCGTTCTTGGAGAAAGTTCTTCTGTGGTGTGGCCACAAACACTTGAGTCTCTGTAGTCCGCACCTTCTCACCTTTGGTCTAATAAGAGTGAAGAAAGTGAAACTAATAAAAACCTCCTTTCCACCAGCAATTCCAAAAATCAAGACAAAAAGAATCATCAGAAAACTACTCCAACTACACCTCCAGAAACAGGAGGGATTTTAGGCCTCCAGCCCCATCTCACACCTACTTAGGACCTACCTTCATCCTCTGCTCCACAATGTAGAAGATGCGTTCAACCCCAATGCTGAGTCCCACACATGGCACCTTGTGGCCCTTGGGGTCAAACATGCCCACCAGCCCGTCATAGCGCCCACCAGCAGCCACACTGCCCACATTCAGGGGCTCCTCCCCAGCCTGAGTTGGGGTCTGCAGCAGCACTGCTTCATAGATCACTCCTGTATAGTAGTCTAGGCCCCGAGCCAGGCTGAGGTCAAATGAGATCTGTGGGAACAAGGCTACAGTCAGTCCCAAACTAGACTCAGGACCCTGAGAGCCCTAGAGCTCAGCAGGAGGTCCATCTGCAATTCAGCTTACCTTCTCAGCAATTCCAAATAAAGTCAGGTATTCAAACAGCAGCTTCAGGTCTTCCAGGCCCTCCAGGGCCTGCTTGTTCTGGGATAGTCTGGGATCCTGAAACATTTGCTCTACCAGGGATACCCCACCTGGAGAGAAATAAAGTATCTGCTGTTCATTCAGATGTGTTTCATTTAAAATTATCCCTGATGTGCTCTAGCTAGTCTTCCTCATTTTCTTAAAAAAAAAAAAAAAAAAGATGATCCCAGTCTCACATGACAAGATCCTCCTCCTTTAGCTCTAGCTTTGCCATCTGAAGACATAAAGTCCTTACAATAAGTAAAAGAGAAATTAAATTCAGGACAGGCCCTGGAGCTTAGCATATCTACAGAAAAGGGTTGTTTCAGAGGTAGAATTTGAGCACATGTCACCTTCAGCCTGGTTCTATCACAGCTCTGAAAACCCTGGTTCTTACCATGACATTGGACATAATCCCCAATTCGATCAGCCACCTCAGGAGCCAGGCCTTTCTTCGCCACCATCTCATGTCTCACATCTTTCCAAGCCATCTGCATAAACACCCAAACATTAGCCCACCCCAAGATCTTTCTTTCTCAAACTGGAAAAGAACAACTCACTTCCATTCAGTATATACATCACAAGTAGCTAACTGTATTCTCCGCAAAGTCAGAGACAGCTTAAGAAATCCAGTCACGGCCGGGCGTGGTGGCTCAAGCCTGTAATCCCAGCACTTTGGGAGGCCAAGATGGGAGAATCAGGAGGTCAGGAGATTGAGACCATCCTGGCTAACACGGTGAAACCCCGTCTCTACTAAAAAAATACAAAAAAACTAGCCGGCCGAGGTGGCGGGCGCCTGTAGTCCCAGCTACTCGGGAGGCTGAGGCAGGAGAATGGCGTAAACCCAGGAGGCGGAACTTGCAGTGAGCCGAGATCCGGCCACTACACTCCAGCCTGGGCGACAGAGCGAGACGCCATCTCAAAAAAAAAAAAAAAAAAAAATCCAGTCACAATCCCACTGTATAGCACGACTCAGATCTTCCTTCATATGCCTCATTACCTTCCTCCCCAAAATAGCCCACTTCCAGCCACAATATCCTTATTTTTCACTAGTGGTATGGATTTGAGGGCAGGGCAGAAACTAGATAGGGTCTACAGAAGCATGTCTTCTTTGTTACCTTGTCTAGTTTATCTATGGAGGAGCAGATGGCACGGAACTTGCTTTCAGGAACACCACAGGCAGCAAACATCCCATCCACAATCCGCCGGTCATTTACCTGAGAACTCAATGTCAGTGATCCAAGTGCTTGTCAATGCCCTTCCACGCAAAACAATGACAGCACCTACTTTCCTGACATATAAAAAGGATGGAAATTTCACAGGAAGAGTACAGACATACAGGAAATACAACAGCTTTACTAGGAAAGTCCTAGAGTTGCAGGCTTAAGGGTTGGAGTCACCCAAGTTTGGGACTTGCATAAACAGTATTAGGCCAAATCCAGACTTCTCCCACAGTTCTCAGCCCTGGCCTCACCTTAATGAGAAAGTCTCCCAACTGCAATCCACTTAGGATTTCACATATGATCTTCAAACACTCTGCATCAGGGATCATAGGGTCAAACTGACCAGCAATGTCAAAATCCTACAGCAAAGAAAAAGATGGGAAAAAACTTCCATTATCCAGCCAATTTCAAGGTTGTGGCCCCTAGAACTATCAAACTGTGCTGCTCCCATCAGGTCACTTACACATTGGCAGAACTCCCTGTAGCGGCCTTGGACTATGCTTGGGCTCTCTCGCCGCCACACCTTTCCAACATGATAACGTTTCATCTTCTTCACCTTATTCATGGCCAAATAACGAGCAAAGGGAACCTCACATAAATGGGTTAAGGAAGAGGGATACTGCATCCAAAGCTTAGGCCCAGTATACAGACATTAGGGAGGAACTGGGCCTTTATCAACTGGATCTCATCCACTAGGGTGAGAACAAGGACCTTCCCTTTTTTCCACTATCCCCAAGGTCTAGCAGTGCTTGGAATTCAATATATATTGAAATCCCAAATGAAGGAATCTCACCTACCATAACTGTAAGTTCAGCAGAAAGCAAGGGAAGTAGAGACAGAAGTGACCTAAGAACTAACTTCAGGTCTGGGCCATTTCTGCCCATTCAGATCAATTCCGAACCATCTAAAATAGTCAAGCTTCAGAACTTGGATTTGCCTAACAACTTCTCAGCTACTGTTTCTGAAAGTGCAGGGAAAGGATTAATTACCCACGATGCTTGTTTAAAATGCAGATTGTAGGCCAGATGCGGTGGCTCACACCTGTAACCCCAGCACTTTAGGAGGCCAAGGTGGGAGGATCACTTGAAACGAGGAGTTTACAATCAGCCTGGGCAACAAAGACACCCATCTCCACAAAATCTTTTTTTTTTTTTGAGACAGAGTTTTGCTTTTGTTACTCAGGCTGGAGTGCAATGGCACAATCTCAGTTCACTGCAACCTCTGCCTCCTGGGTTCAAGAGATTCTCCTGCCTCAGCCTCCCTAGTAGCTGGGATTACAGGCGCCTACCACCACACCTGGCTAACTTTTTAGGTCAAAAGAGATCTGTGGGGACAAGGCTATAGTCAGTCCCAAACTAGACTCAGAACCTGAGAGCCCCAGAGCTCAGCAGGACCTCAGTAGAGATGGGGTTTCACTATGTTGGCCAGGCTGGTCTTGAACTCCTGACCTCTGGTGATCCACCTGCCTCAGCCTCCCCAACTGCTGGGATTACAGGTGTTCGCCACCATGCCTGGCTAAAAAAACAATTTTTAAATACAAATTATTGAGCCCCATTCCAGCTACAGAATTAGCTAAGAATCTCTGAGACTGGAGCCAAATGTCTGTGCTTCTGCAAGCTCCCCCAAAGGATTATGATACACATTAGAGTTAAATGATAGGGCTCCAGGCTAGGCTCCTGTAGCAGAACTGCCTTCTGGGAGAAACTAGAAGTATAGGCTGCTGCCAATGGACCTCTAAGATCCCAAAGTCATTCTCTCTACTTTCGTCAGAGAAAGCCCTCTGGATTTGGAAAGAGACAGGTGAGTCTCCAGTATTCAAAAGGATACAGTAAGGTCATAGCGGAGGGACAACAGCTCTCCACCTTGATCCTTCAGATCATACATGAGCCCAGAGTCCTCTCCATACTTCTCAGTCAGTGTTTCCTATAGGGGTCAAACAGAATGAGCCACAGTTCAAAGGATGACTCCAAAACACAGATGAGAAGCCCTTTGGGACACTTAAGGCCAGTGAAGAAGTGAATGAGGTTGCATGTATTCTTTCTTCTCCCCTTACCTTCAGCTCAAATGCTGGGGTATCCATCCCCTTTGCTCCATGACGTTTAAAGCAGCTGATAACCAAATCAAGAATTTTCTCCCTCACAACCATATGCTGAGGACTAAGATCCCTGGTACCCTGGAAACCGAAAGCAGCCCCAGTGAAAACAAAAACAAAAAATAAGTCCATTTCAGACAAGGAGTTAAAGGACACTTATTATGTAATCTCAGGTCTGGAGCTGAAATCTACTGAGTTCAAATGACTGTGAGCCCCACCTAGTATCTCAAGAATAGTACATATTTTTAAAATGTAAAGGACATTAAAAGCGGTCAGAGAGACATGCAAGGCAGAGGTCAGTCCTCCAAGGCACTCTAATGGGATAGGGTAGGCAAAAAGTATTACCTTTGGGATCTTGATAACAAAATTTGGTTTCTCTTGATGTGCTTTCAGTTGGGATGTTAACACTGCCTCTGCAACCTGGCAGAAGAATGAATATGAGAAGTGGCTCCTCTGGACACTGGCCAGACCTGTGGCATTTCTGACCCCATTGACCATCAACCTGCAAAGACTCTTCACCCTGAGCAACAGGAAGCCAAAGCACCATTTCATCTATCCCAATCTCAGTCCCACCACAAAGAACCCATGTTGTATCTACAATTACACGTGTAATATATATGAGGTCCGGTCTTCACCACACAAGATTCCTCATTGTATACGGATTTTTTTTTTTTTTTTTTTTTTGAGACAGAGTCTCAGTCTGTTGCCCAGGCTGGAATGCAGTGGCACGATCTCGGCTCACTGCAACCTCCACATCCCGCTTCAAGCAATTCTCCTGCCTTAGCCTCCCGAGTAGCTGGGACTACAGGCGTGCCACCGCCACGCCCAGCTAATTCCTGTATTTTTAGTAGAGATGGGGTTTCACCATGTTGGCCAGGCTGATCTTGAACTCGTGACCTCGTGATCCACCCACCTCGGCCTCCCAAAGTGCTGGGATTACAGACATGAGCCACTGCGCTCAGCCGGATTTTTAATATTCTCAAATACTTTAAGAATCTGAGAATAATGAAGGCACTGAACAACCCACTACTACCACCACCAACCATTCAGGATTGTGATGATCTTCTCCAGGTCACGGTTCCTACTGAAACAGCAAAAATAATTTTTTTTTTCCAGATGGAGTCTTGCTCTGTCGCTCAGGCTGGAGTGCAGTGGCACGATCTCAACTCCTGCAACCTCTGCCTCCCGCGTTCAAGCGATTCTGTCTCAGCCTCCCGAGTACCTCGGATTACAGGCGTATGCCACCATGCCCGGATAATTTTTGTATTTTTAGTAGAGATGGGGTTTCGCCCCTGGCCAGGCTGATCTTGAACTCCTGACCTCGTGATCCACCCACCTCGGCCTCCCGAAGTGATTGGGATTACATGCATGAGCCACTGCATCCGGCCAAAAAAATAAGAATTTTTAATAAGGTAACACTAGTTATCAGGTTTAGAAATAGGAAAACTAACTTGAAGACAGGGGAACCAGCTCAAGGGCACAGAACAAGCCTGTGGAATGAAAAGATACGGATTTCTTGAATGAACTAAAAAACTCAGACTGGTAAGATACTGTGATTGAATATTAATAAAAGACCTGAGCCGTATTGTTCACGATAGCGCAAAGCATCTACTAAGAGGGCATCAGAATCTTTCCGAAGTAAGGCAAAACTTAATCAGTGGCATTACCAGCAAGCTGTATGCCCTTCCAAAAATAGAGGATGTGGTGGTTCCATACTATGGCGATTATCTGTCCCAAGGGAAGTCCAAGTTCAAGTCCACAATCCCTTATCTGCAATTCCAAAATCCCAAACTCTCTGACATCTGAAAATGTTTTTCTGAGATTCATTTTGAGGTAAATTCTAAGGTGAACTCAGTCTACTTCTGATCTTTAGTCATCTCATTTATTAGGAATATTCATACATTTTGCTTAAAAATATTACTGTTTGAGTCCAAGAGTTTCAGGAAAAAGTGTGGATATGAATTAAAATACTCCCTTACTACATATCCATGTACAACTCATTCATTTAATCTTGCAGCCTCCGCTTCCTCAACTGCAGAATGGAAATAAAAACTCCAACCTCTCAAGATTGCTCCAAGGATTAAATGACCAGGCATCCAAATCGCTTAGTTCAGTGTCAGTACATAGTGGGCACTCGATAAAAACCGATTGTAACACTACTGGAATACACGCTGCGAGTCTATGCTTTCAGATCTGGAGGCCCTGCTGGGACAGACCAGAGATAATTACGTCTGCTCACCTGGCTTTGGCAACGGACCGCCCCGGTGCAAGAAGCGCAGGGCGGTCGCAGGAGCTGGCTGAGCAGCGCAGCCCAGGCCCTCCTGGGAAGAAGTCCGAGCAGGGGCATCGCGCGGCAGGACGCCAGCTTTCAGGGACAGGAACAAAAGGCCTGGGAAGGAGGCGGGTCGGACTCCAGGAAGGGTGGAGGGCACGCGAAGGCTGAACCCGGGCACCACGCAAAACTCGGGCGTTCGCGCACCTCACCAGTCACGGAGGCTGAGGTGGGATCCTCCCAAGCTCCCTTAGTGGCCAGCTTCGGCACTTCCGGCAGGAGCCGGAAATAATATTTGTGCTCGGCGGAGGCTCTCTAGGCGTGCGACCCGGCGACTCGATAGCCGGAAGTCATCCTTGCTGAGTCTGGGGCCGCCGTCGCTGGTCTAGGCAGCAGTGGGTTCAAGTGGACAGCCGGGATGGCAGAGCGTGCGGCGCTGGAGGAGCTGGTGAAACTTCAGGGAGAGCGCGTGCGAGGCCTCAAGCAGCAGAAGGCCAGCTCCGAGCTGGTAAGACTTAGGCAGCAGGGGAGGGCCAAGGCAAAGCCTGGGAGGACGTAAAGCCAGGGTGTTCGGGACATAGGATAGGGATGTGAGGGAAACGACCAGGCTTGTAGGGAGGAGAGTGGGCTGCGTGGGGAGGTATCCGGGGTGGGTCCCGAGAGAAACAAAGCTAGGCCTGAGCAGAGAGATCCTGATGAGGGAGGAATATTGAATGAATGGCGGGGGAGGCAGGAGACTGACAGATGGTTAGCTCAGCGCCTTCTTTCCCTCCACAGATCGAGGAGGAGGTGGGAAAACTCCTGAAACTGAAGGCACAGCTGGGTCCTGATGAAAGCAAACAGAAGTTTGTGCTGAAAACCCCCAAGGTAATATCATTCCTGTAGGGAGCCACTGAGAAAGTCTAACTGTACTCACGGGGCGCTTATGTCTGCCTCCTTAAACCAGGTCATTGAGGAGGATCTGAAATACTGCAGAGGAGAGAACAGTCGCTCTGGGCGCTGGGCTGGACTGGACTCTACCTGAGTCATTCTGGGATGGCAAAGTGATGGCAGAAGCTAGGCCAGCTGGGTGATCGGGGAGTCAGCCTGCTGCTGCTACTCCTTCGTTCATTCAGTAAATGTGTATTTAGCACTGTGTCTCTAGCACTATACAAAGCACTGAATATATACCATGGTGGACAATATAGCCTCCCCTCATGGAGCTTACATTCTACTGAAGGAGAGAGACTTAGAACAAATAATCCCACACAGATTTTTTTTTTTTTTTTAAACGGAGTATCCTGTATTGCACAGGCTGGAGTGCAGTGGCACATCTTGGCTCACTGCAGCCGCTGTCTCCTGGGTTCAAGTGATTCTCCTGCTTCAGCCTCCTGAGTAGCTGGGACTACAGGTGCCCACCACCACGCCCAGCTAATTTTTATATTTTTAGTAGAGACAGGATTTCCCCATATTGGCCAGGATGGTCTTGAACTCCTGACCTCAAGTGATCCGCCCGTCTCAGTCTCCCAAAGTGCTGGGATTACAGACGTGTGCCACCGCATCTGGCCACCACACATGGTTATGTAATTACATATTGTGAAAAATGATATAAAGACATTAAGGTTGCTCTGAGAAAAATAAGGGAGAACTGGGGAGTCTGAGAAAGGCTAACTGAGGAAGTGATATACTAACCGATCTAGTGAATGAGTAGGAGATAGCCAGAGGACAAGTGTGACAAAGATAAGTCCAGGTAGAGTATGGAAACCCTAAAGTGGGAAAGAACTTTGGTAGTTTTGAGGAACTAGAGGATGATCTACATGGCTAGAACTAAGTAAAGGAGAGTAGAGTGGAATGAGGTTGGAGATTCTGAGCTCATCCTCCAGTTCAGTTCCACTTTCTGTAAGTTCTATAAACAGAACTGTTTACCCTTTCATCTAGGTTCTCTTGGCACTTCATACATATTTCTGTTATTGCACCAACTTTAAGTAGTTATTTTTGTGGTTTATATACCCTGAGACAGACTAGGTGCCTAAATAGATATAGTCAGCCCTCCATATCCCAAGGTCCCACATTCACAGATTCAACCACCTGTGGAGATCAAAACCATTCAGAGGAAAAGAAACAATTAAGAAAAAAAATCTGGCTGAATGTGGTGGCTTACACCTGTAATCCCAGCACTTTGAGAGGCCGCAAGGGGAGGATCATTTGAGCCCAGGAGTTTGAGACCAGCCTGAGCAACATAGTGAGTCCCTATCTCTACAAAAAAAAAAAAAAAAAAAACCTTTTAAAATCTAACAATAAAAATTTCAAATAAAAAATATAGTATAACAACTATTTACACAGCCTTTACATTGTCTAAGGTATTATAAATACTCTAGAGACTATTTAAAGTGTATAGGAGGATGTGCATATATTTTTATATCAAGGGCTTGAGCATCCATGGATTTTTGGTATCCACACGGGGCCTAGAACAAATCTCCTGCGGATACTGAGGGATGACTCTATTTAATAAATGTATTTGAAATTGAATTCCAAAGGAGAGGGGAGATGTCTGTTTTCCTTGTGTTAAGGTTAATTCTTTGGGCTCCTAAATTCATTGAGCTGTTTCTTTCTACATATAACTCATATTTGGAGGTTAAAGAGACAGTGTAAAATCCCAAAGTGGTGATGGTCAGTGATTATTCAAACTATTAGATGAAAAGCTTACTGTGGAATTTATGATGGATCAGTCTGTCCTCACCAGTGATGAGTTTTAACATCACTAAAGTAGGACAACTAGACATGTTCCTGCTGATGTGATGCAACAAGAAGTACACAGCACCACCTGTGAAGTACTCTTGCCAAGTAAATTGAATTTGAATCTAATCAGATCTTTGGACTAACTATCAGTTTACAGGAAATACTAGAGATGGAGGAACATGTTAAATGACACATTAAGCATATTGTTTACCAAATCTAGAATGTGAAAAATTTTTTTAGGACAAATGAACCAATTTTCCTAGTTAATAAATGACCTTTTTAAAATAAAAAAAAAAGTGGGGGAGGGAAGGAAACTATTGTAGATTAAATAGACATATTAGCTGATTACAACGCATAGACTTCATTTTGAAGTTGATTCAAATAAATCAACCATAAAAAGATATTATCGAGGCAACAGGGAAAAACTGACCATGGCTTAGCATTAGATAATATTAAGGAGTTGCTGTTAGTTTTGTTAGTTATAATAAAGATAGAGTCTTTGGGGTTTTTTAAATGTCCTTATGTGTTAGAGATTCATATTGAAGTATTTATGGATGAAATGATATGACGTCTGGGATTTATTTCAAAATATTTAAGAAAAACATGTAAGGGCTTAAATAAGAATAGCAGATATTAATGGTTGTTGGAGCTGGGTAATGGATAAATGGTGACCTGTAATACTATTCTCTATATTGTGTCTTTGAAAATTTCCGTATTATAGCATTAAAATAAGATTATGCTAGAGAGTTAATATCCATTTTAGTATTAACAATAGAAAACTCAGTATTGTGAGACAAGACTCTTTCAAGGGATCTTCATGGTCAAAACTATTTCTATAGTAATTCATTTGTTTTGTTTGAGACGGAGTCTTGCTGTGTTGTCCAGGCTGGAGTGCAGTGGCATGATCCTAGCTCACTGCAACCTCCGCCTCCTGGGTTCAAGCGATTGTCCTGCCTCAGCCTTCCGAGTAGCTGGGACTACAGGCATGTGCCACTGCACCCAGCTAATTTTTTGTATTTTTAATAGAGACGGGGTTTCACCGTGTTGGCCGTGCTGGTCTTGAACTCCTGGCCTCAAGTGATCCGCCCACCTTGGCCTCCTAAAGTGCTGGGATTACAGGCGTGAACCACTGTGCCTAGCCCTTCCATAATAATTCTAAGATGTTATCTGCCTTTTCTATTGTGTTAACATTTGCACCAAAGGCACAAAAGCACTGATGAGTAGAACTGCTGGTGCCTTAGCATAAATTAAGACAGTGACACTAAACTGTACTAATAGCCAGTATGTTCTTCACTGCCATGCACTCACAGTAAGTAAATAAATAAATAAAATTTAGTTTTACTTAACAATGTCATTGATAAAATGGTAAAACTTTGTTCGTTTGTTTGTTTTGGGGTTTTTTGTAGACAGAATCTCACTCTGTTGCTCAGGCTGGAGTTCAGTGTCACGATCTTGGCTCACTGCAGCCTCCACTTCCCGGGTTCAAGCAATTCTTGTGCCTCAGCCTCCTGAGTATCTGGGATTACAGGCGGGTACCACCACACCCAGCTAATTTCTTGTATTTTACAAAAAACACAAGAAATCTACAACATGTTTCACCATGTTGCCCAGGCTGGTTTTGACTCTTGAACTCAGGCAATCTGTCCACCTTGGCCTCCCAAAGTGCTAGGCGTGAGCCACCATGCCTGGCCAAAAAACTTACTAATTTTATTGAATCTTGACCCTTGAGGACTCTATTTTTAAATATTTGCTATGACAAAATGGGAAGCACATATAAAGCACTTCTGCACCCCAAGGTAGGGAAAATGCTTATGCCATTGTTCAAGTTGCAAGCTGATCTAGCTACTTTTTTCTTTTTTTTTTTTTTTTTTTAGACGGAGTCTCGCTCTGCCGCCCAGGCTGGAGTGCAGTGGCCGGATCTCAGCTCACTGCAAGCTCCG